AAGTGCACCATTTTTGTGAGGCGGTCTACAAAGACGAGTATCGTCGTATACCCATCACGGGTTCTTGGGAGGTCGGTGATGAAATCCAGTGAAACGCTTTCCCAAGGTTCACTCGGAATTTCAAGTGGTTGAAGCAAACCACCAAGCTTCTGTGTGCCCGCTTTGTTACGTGCGCACGCGTCACAACGTGCCACAAACCGTTGGACATCGCTACCGACTCCTGGCCACCAATACACATCTCGTAGGGCCCATCGGGTCTTATTCATGCCCAAGTGTCCCCCATATTTAGTGGCATGCACCTCTTCCAAAATATCGTTCCGCAGATTGCCTACGTGAGGTACCGCAATCTCTTTTGTTCTCCACCAAAGATCGTGTTCCCATGTCAAATGTCTGGTGTTTTGTGGGTTCTGGAACCAGGAATCAATATGATATCATGTACGAATTCGTTTCAGAAAGCCACTGAACGCGATCTCGCTCACTTTCGCCGCAGCTAGTATGCCAAAACAGGCAGCAAAAACAGCCGCATGTTCGGTATCGTCAAGCCCAGTTGCTGCCCCTATCGGCTGTCTGCTGAGGGGGTCAGCCAGGTTCGTGGAACCTGCACGATAACGATCGTCGAAACTGAACCCACTAAGGAGTTCAGCCCAACGGGCCTGACGGCGAGTGAGGGTAGCTTGGGTAGAAAAATATGTGTTCGGACAATGGTCAGTGGTGACCACGAACTCTACCCCTTCCAAGTAACATCTCCATGTTGTTAGCGCATGCACGACAGCCAACAACTCTTTTTCGGTTGTCGTGTAGCGTTGCTCTGCCGGGGAGAGTTTTCTACTCTCAAATGCCACAGGGCTTCCTTCTTGCAGGAGTACTGCACCAAGTCCCACCGTCGAGGCGTCCGTAACCACCTCATATGGTTTCTGTGGGTTTGGCAACACCAAAACTGGTGCGTTGGTTAATTTATGCTTGACCTCTTCGAAGGCCTTTTGGCACTGTGGAGTCCACTCCCATGTGCACCCTTTCCGGGTCAATGCCGTGAGGGGAGCGACTATCGTGGAATAATTTTCCAAGAAGCGACGAAAATAGTTCGCCAGGCCCAGGAATGATCGAACTTGGCCATTGTCGCGTGGGACGGGCCACTCCTGGACAGCTGCTACATTCTTGGGGTCCACTTTCAGACCGTTGTGCCCCACTACGTGCCCCAAATACTCCAGCTCACGTTTGTAAAAATGGCATTTCCACAAACGTGCGTAGTATTTGTGCTCGCGTAATTTTTCGAGGACCCATTTCAGGTGTTCCGTATGCTCATCTTCGGTTTTTGAGTATACCAGGATATCATCGAGGTACACCAAGACGAACTGGCCAATCACATCACGAAAAACATCGTTCATCGCCCTCTGGAAAGAGGCCGGAGCGTTGGTCAAGGCAAAACTTAACACACGCCACTGAAAATGGCCGAACGGCGAACGGAAAGCCGTCTTTGGAACATCGTCCTCTGTTATACGCAATTGGTGATAGCCTTGCGCCAAATCCAGTGCACTGAACCATTGCGCACCCTGTAGTCGATCAAATAAATCTTCTATGCGCGGAAGTGGATATCTGTTTTTTATCGTAATTTTATTCAGGGCTCGATAATCGACGCACATGCGCAGTCCACCTCCCTTCTTGTGAACAAACAAGATAGGTGCTCCATATGGGGACGCGCTAGGTTCTATCCATCCCTTCCTGAGGTATTCCTCAATCTGTTGTTTAGCCTCCTCGTACTCAGCTGGACTGAGGCGATACAGAGGTCTAAATGGTGGTGCCTTTCCTGGTTCCACCGGGATGGTGTGGCCAACTGCACGGTCGGGAGGTAACCCGTCCGGAATTGGTTCGAAAACCTCGGAATATTCCTCTGCGAACGCCTTCATTTGAGGTGGAAAGTCCTCAATAATATGTGAAGGGGTTGGTTCAGAGTCCAGCTGTACAACAAAAAGTGTATCAGCTCCCTTGACATGCTCTTTGAATTGGAGAGCCGACGTAAAGCGCACATCAAGAGCCAGGCTTTGAGGTTTGTCATCCAGTGCATGGCGCTTTGGGACTTGCCATTGAAACGCCGTCCCATTCTTTGTGAATGAAAGCGTTTTATCTTGGAAATTTAATATCACCTCATTAGGCCGCAGCCAATCCATTCCCAAGACAATGTCTACGCCTGCTAGGAGGGGTAAGACAAAAACGCTGATGGTCTCCTGATATCCTTGGATATCTAGGTTGACCAAGGCATGTCCTCTGCATGGGACGACCCTGTCATCTCCCAGACGGATAGAGCAAGATGGTCCTTGAACAGGCACATTCAAATACCCCATCCATTTCTCATCGATCAATGACGCAGTCGCTCCTGTATCAACCAGGATTGAGGCACTGCGCCCATTTACGCAACCCGAAAACAAAAGGACATGCTGTAATATCAGTGGGAGGCAAATAATATGCCTTAATGCCGTGCTTGCTGCGTCCAAAAGAACGAGCTTGTGTCCACCACACATGGTGTCCCTTATCCCACTGCGCTAACACGCTCCATCCTTGAAGTGCTCGAAACAATTTACCTCGAACTGTGCGCGTTACCATTCCAACCGCAGTTAGAGGGTGCGCTTGGGTGCAACGACTCACCATCTCCATTATCCAAGGCAAATTATGGTGATCACAAAATATAAGTGAGAATTTATCTCGTAATGATTCAACTGTGACATTTTCCAGTGGGTGAAATCGAGAGGCAAACAAAGAGCTTTCATTAAAGAAAAATGCATACACACATGCAATTTTGCAATCAACAAGGCACTCGAGTTTCAATAACTCCTCATCCCGCAGGACCACTGCCTCATCCTCTCGATCTACTATGCCCGCTAGGTACCCACCCCCTAGTTGGGCTTTGCAAAATCCCGCTGGCTGCCCGAGGGACCACTGCCATCATGGCGCTTGTTGTCCGTCTTGGACTTGCCAGAGTACTTCACCGCCTTGTGGTGGCGGCACTCATAGCCCTTGTGTCCAAGCTTGCCGCACTTGAAGCAGCTCTGGACATTGCTTGGTCCACCCTCGTTGACCTTCTTGGCCTTGTGGTCAGCCTGCTGCCCCTGCTGGAAGGGCCTCTTGTGGTTCCCGCACTTCCAAGGCGTTCCCTGCTGCCTTCCGTTAGGACCCGCAGTGCTAGAAGACAGCCTTGAGGCCTGCTGCGGCTGGGTAGTGGTTTTGGCATAAGCGCGGAAGTGCTTATCAGTGGTCCCCACCACGCGCTTCATGTGATCATAGGACCTCCATGCCTCCCCAGCCCCATCCGTCATATGCATGTTCTTGAGGTACATAGGCAGCCCCCTGAAGAACAGATGGATCTTCTCGCCTTCGCTCATACGTTCCGCCGGTTTTTGGAGCACCCAGATCTCCTCGAACTCCACGGCGTACTGCTGCACTGTGCGGTTCCCGCACTGCAGCTTCTCAAGGCGGCTGCGCACCTCCAGCTGAGTCGGCTGGACCTGGAAAGCTTGCTTGAGTGCAGATGCGAATTCCTCCCACCCAAACGGCTTCCTATCCGCCTCAGCCTGGATCTTGCTGCCATACACCACTTGCTGTGCGTTCTGGTCCAGCACGGTGGTGGCAGCAACGACGCGAGCGTCGTCTTGGACCTAAACCCTTGAACAGGTCGGTCATCATCGACAACCACGCAGCCACGTCCGTTTTGCCATGGATGAATGGCGGCAGGGTGATTGGCAGAGATCCAAAAGCCTGCGTGCTCGGCTCAGCAGCGCGCTGCGTAGAAGGACCAGGGTCACCCACTGCAAAACCAGAGCGAGAAGGGTTAGTGCGACCGCTAGCAGAGTTGGCAGGCGGGTCCGCTCGTGGTGCAGGGCGATACATGGTCTCCCTTCGGAGGGCACTGAAGGCCTCGCGCAGCTCGTTGATCTTTGAGGTTTGCCTCGCCAGCTGATGAACGTGCTCGCGCGCATCATGCTTCATGTTTTTTAGCTCAACTTCCAGGTACTTGATTTTGTCGTCCTGGTCAGAGAGCTCCCTCGTGAGGTTGGTGATGAGTGACTGCTGCTGCTGGATGCGCGTATCCTGCTCAACAGCATGATCCTGCAGCTTAGCAATTTCAGCATGCAGAATGTCCTCCTCTCCAACTCAATGTCATCCTCCTGAGACTCCCCTTCCTGCTCCTTGGAATTTTCAGCAGCAGGAGGGTCCCTTGCAGGGGAGTCAACGGCAGGTTCCTTCTCAGCCATTTCCTCATCCATGTTGTTCAGGTCAATTTTCTGCATACAAGCTTCCAGTTTAGCATTGAAGTTGTTGCCTTCAACACCACCAGCATTGGAGTTGGTAGAAGCCAGTGAGAGCAAAGTCACTGTATTATAAAAAAAGAGTTACAGATCTACTGCAAATTGTTATCACCGCAGTGAATAACCAAGATTTTCTCCAAAGGAGAAATTTCTTCAATAGATCTTACAACCATAGCAATGTGAAAAACACCTCTGTTGATAAATATCCTTACCACCGCAGTGGATAAGGCAAGAACAATCACAAAATGATTGTATTCAACAGAGAATGTTAGTTCACACAGGTTGCAACTTCTTCACAGTAGCTCCAATGGTTCCACCAGCAGAGAGGGAGGGAGGGCTTAGAACTCTTGGAGAAGCTTGTAGTGTGAAACAGTGAACGCGAATGAAATGACTAAGTGAAAGTTGGGTACAAATACAAACCCTAGAAAGCTGTACCCCATATGTGCTACCCCACTAATACGTACAATAGCTATGTCATATATATCTGACACACCCCCATAGGCAAAGTGGGGGAGAACAAGGGGTCACAAGACCAGTCAAGCAAAGCAAAGCAAAGCAAGCTCAAGGTGGATCACAAAGTCACCACACAGTCCGAGCACAAGGTCAAGGCCACAAGGCCAGTTCACATGCATGAGGAGACATATATATATAAGGCTAAACAAGCAAGAGTAGGTATATATATATGCAAGAGTACAAGCAAGGTCAAGAGATGAGCAAGTGAGGCAAGACTGGGACAAGTCCCAGCTGAATGCAGAAGCGCTGATGATCACAAGGCGCAAGTGCCTTGGTGAAAACATCAGAAGTGTTGGCCTCTGAGGCCACGTACGCAAGTCGCAACTGACCACGCTGCTGCAGCTCACGAGCAAGAAAGTAACGGAGAGCAATGTGCTTCGTTCTGTGCTCCAAGCGCTGCTCTCGACACAAGGCCAGCATAGCCTTGTTGTCTACGTACAGCACTGGAGGAGAACTAGGCGGCTCTCCAAGGTCAGTCAGCAGGTAGGTGAGCCAGCGAAACTCCTGTGCACCCCTGGCCCCGGCGTAGATCTCAGCCTCACAACTGGAGCCAAGAACAGAAGACGAGCGAGTAGCCCGCCACGAAACAGAGCCGAAACCAAGACTGAAGGTGTAACCCTGTGACGACCGCTGAGTAGCCTGGTCGTCAGCCCAAGAAGCGTCCGCGTGCCTAGAGAGGACTACTGGACACCGCCCTCCAAGCACTAGCCCCATGCCCGACGTACTGCACAAGTAGCGCAACACCCTCTTCGCTGCAGCCATGTGCTCTGGTCGGTGTCTCCCAGGAGCAACATAGCCTGCTAAGATGCTAAGAGGGTATGCAAGGTCAGGTCGTGTGCAGGTCATCAGGTACATGAGGCAGCCAACAAGCTCTGGGTATGGGCCACTCGACTCTACGGACTCATCCGAAGGCAGAGCTGAGAGCGAGTGGCGAGTAGACAGAGGAGTGGCCTGAGGCGAGGAGTACGTGAAGCCGAAGCGCTGAAGGACCTGCTGCACCATGTGTGACTGAGTCAAGGTAATGGTGCGGCGTGCTCTGTCCCGAGGGATCTGCAAGCCAAGGTAGCTGCGCAGTTCACCCAGGTCAGTGCACGTGTGTCTCTTCTGCAGCTCGGACTTCACGTAGGCGAGTCCAACAGTGTCAGCTGTGGCAAAGACCAAGTCGTCGACGTACACGAGGATGTAGAACGGCGGCAGAGAAGTGTCGGTGCGCAGAAATAACGACGGGTCAGCAGTAGAGGGAGCAAACCCAAGAGCCGCAAGCGTAGTCCTCAGTGTGTCGCGCCACTCACGCGGTGCCTGGCGGAGACCGTAGACTGGCCGTCGGAGGCTCCACTGGGTGCCAGGAGGGAAAGTCCCAGTGAAGCCAGGCGGACGGCGCAGCCAGATCTCCTCGTGCAGGCTACCATGCAAGAAAGCAGTGCTGAAGTCAAGAGAGTGGAGCTCGTAGTCGCGCTGAGCGGCTATGTGCAGCAGCACCCGAAGAGTGGTCATCTTCGGGGTGGGAGAGAAGGTCTGAAAGTAGTCAACTCCCTGCCGCTGACTGAAGCCACGAGCCACGTACCGCGCCTTAAAGACAGGTGGAGAGCCCGGCGGCCGCTTCACCCTGAAGATCCACATCCCACTGACGATGTTCGCCCCAGGAGGGGGAACCGCGTCAACATAGGTGCCTGTGGACTTCCAGGAAGCCATCTCTGCATCCATAGCTGCCTGCCACTAAGAGGATTAGGGACCGTCTACGGCCTCCGCGTAAGAGCGCGGAGTCGGGATGTCTAGTGCATCCGGGTCTCCCTCAGGGGCAAGCAGTACAGACGCGAGATGAGGTGAAGCAGCAGCCAGACACTGGAACTCCTCCTGCCTGTCCTCAAGGACGTCCGTGCCAAGAGCACACTCACCCCCGACGGACGGAGGACAGACAGACGCAGACTCAGCAACAAGACTAGCAGCGTAGTCTAGACGACAGCGAGCAGCAAAGTCGACGAGCTCAGCAACAAGAGCAGACGCAGCAGTGGACTCAAAAGAGGGGTCAGTGACGTCAGTAGCAAGGAGACGCGTGACAGTAGGACTCGCAGCACGCAGGGAGTCCGACGCCGGGTCGGCAAGCGCAGGAAGAGAGGACTCAGGAGGAGAAGGCAAAGGGGCACGCAGAGGAGCAGTGGAGGGACGCAGAGACATCCGGTGCGTGCCAAGGACAGGAGGAGGACGCTGACGCGAACCACGACCACTAGCGCGAGCAGAACGGACAGGCGACGCGGGACGAGACGAAGGGTCACGAGCACTACTTCCGGCTGGTGGTTGACGACTATTCGCGTTACACCACAGTCTTGACAAAATTAGAAGAAAGAAAAAGGATTGAACTAGCAAGAATGAGGATACAAATAGCAAACCCTAGAAGGGTTGTACTCGCTATAGAGCACCCCACTACAGGCTAGAACAATAAGATAATATTCTGACACACCCCCATAGCCAAAGTGGGGTGTAATCAGCAGAGCAGGCAAAGCAATACAAGCTCAGGGTGGATCACAATGTCACCACACATTCTGAGCACAAGTTCAAGAAGAAATAGTTTAGAGTTCACAATTATAAGCAAAGCTAGTGGTAGTCACAACGGGCAAGTGAGGAGGAGGAGGGAGAGTGAGGGGAGAGGAGATAGGAGGCGACGGCTGAAGCTGCAGACACACGAGCAACAGGAGGCAGACTGGCACAGCGGCTACCAGACAGCGCCCGGACTACAGGAGTAACAGGCCCCGCGGCTCAAATAGCGGCGGACGGGCAACGGACCCACAGGCGGTTGGCGTAGAAGTCTAGCTCACTGGGCTACCGGGACAGCGCCCCGGACTACAGGTGCTGCTGACGACAAACTTGCAACCTCCGCTCATCCTCCCGCACACAGTCCCACCCCCCTGATACACACCCACTGCTACACCGCTAGCTCTACTCCCACGCACCCCCCTTAAACCCTAAACCCCAGTCTCCCACACAACCACCCCCCTCAGCGACAGCTGCAGCAGTGGGAGACGAAGGAGGAGGAGGAGCAAAGGGAGGAAGGCACACCGATCACCCCCATACCCGCCACCCCACAGCTCGCGGCCCCCGAAGGAGCCGCGACCGGCGACGGGAAATGGCAGGGGGAGGGGGGGGGGGGGGAGGCGGGGTGGTGAAAGGGACCCACCACGGGCCTGGTTGGAGGGCGGGGCCGCGAAAAGGGGCTGGGCCGCGACGAGGGGCGGGGCCGCGAAGTAGGGCGGGGCCGCTTCGAGGGGCGGGGCCGCGACACAGGGCGGGGCCGCGACGTAGAGCAGGGCCGCGACGGTCGGGCGGGGCCGCGACCGTCGGGCGGGGCCGCGACGTAGGGCGGGGCCGTGACGGTCGGGGCGGGGCCGCGACGTAGGGCGGGGCCGCGACTGTAGGGCGGGGCCGCGACGGTCGGGGCGGGGCCGCGACGTAGGGCAGGGCCGCTTCGAGGGGCGGGGCCGCGACGCAGGGCGGGGCCGCGACGGTAGGGCAGACGCCCGCCGCGCGCCTCGGGGCGCACAGCGGGCAAAAAACCGCCGCGCGCCCCGGGGCGCACGGCGGGCAGAAAACCGCCGCGCGCCTCGGGGCGCACGGCGGGAAGGAAAACCGCCGCGCGTCTCGGGGCGCACGGCGGGAAGGAAAGGTAGTAGCGGAAGCGAGGTGGAATCCCACCCACAGGATCGATCCAAGGGGATCGACCTACTCTGATACCATGACAAAATTAGAAGAAAGAAAAAGGATTGAACTAGCAAGAATGAGGATACAAATAGCAAACCCTAGAAGGGTTGTACTCGCTATAGAGCACCCCACTACAGGCTAGAACAATAAGATAATATTCTGACAAGTCTTCCCCTTGCGCAGCAAGGGTGATGTCACTGAGGTGTTGATCAATTGGATCCGCGCAGCTCGTCTCCAGCTCAGGAGGAGCTTCGGCTCGGACTTTCCTGTTCTGCGTCTGCACTCTGACCGAGACGGAGGGTTCTCCTTTGGCCTTCTGCGAGCCTACTGTCGTGCACGAGGCATCCGCCAGACCTTCACGCTTTCGGAGTCTCCACAGCAAAATGGGATTGCTGAGCGCCGCATTGGCATGGTCATGGACGTCGCTCGTACGTCCATGATGCATGCGGCTACCCCCTATTTTCTGTGGCCGTTTGCGGTTCGGTACGCGGCGCATCAGCTCAACCTTCACCCCAGGGTCTCCGCGCCGGAGACCTCCCCAGCTCTGCTGTGGACGGGGAAGGTCGGCGATGCGTCTGCGTTCCGTGTCTGGGGATCTCGGGCGTTTGTCCGCGACTTGTCTGCGGACAAGCTGTCCCCTCGTGCTGCTCCTTGTGTCTTCCTAGGCTTCCCCCCTGACGCCGAAGGGTGGCAGTTCTACCACCCCTCCTCTCGTCGTGTTCTGTCCTCCCAGGACGTCACGTTCGACGAGTCCGTCCCCTGCTACCGCCTCTTCCCCTACCGCACTCCTTCCCTCCCCCCGCTACCGCACTTCCTTGTGCCAGGTCCCCCCCCGGTAGACCCCCTTCCCCCTCAGGGTCCTGCCCCTTCAGGTGTGTCCCAGGTAGATGCAGTCGAGCCGGTCGAGGTTGCTGGTGACTCAGGTACTGCTGGGGGTGCTGAGCCTGGGGGTGCTCACTCTGGGGGTGCTGAGCCTGGGGGTGCTGCCTCTGGGGGTTCTGAGCCTGGGGGTGCTGAACCTGGGGGTGCTGACTCTGGGGGTGCTGCGCGCGTGGGTGCTGAGCCTGGGGGTGCTGCGTCTGGAGCTGCTGAGCCTGGAGGTGTGGAGCCTGCAGCCACTAGACCTCCCCTTGTGGCGTCTGGCGGTGCTGGGCCTGGAGGTTCTCCGGGTGTTTCGTCTCGGCGGGAGCCACTCTCTCCACAGGAGCTGCGTGAGTGGTTTGCTCGCCGCTGGAGGCGTACTGCTGGAGCTGGCACTTCTTCGGCTGCTGAGGGTGCTGGTGCCGCCGGTCCCGGAGCTGCTGGGCCTGCGGGTCCGCCTGGAGCTGGAGCTGCTGAGGGTGTTGGTTCTGAGACTACTGTGGTCATATATATCTGACATGTAGATCTTGAAAACTGAAGCTTGAGTAGCTTGTAGTCATCACAAGTTTGTAATATGGAGATTACAATGAAAATCCCAACTCCTCCAAGAAAAAGAAAAAGAAAATCCTCCTAGATGCCCACAAGGCAAGGATCTACTAATAGCTATGATTACCAATGTAACGGATCTAGTAAGATAATGGGCATTTACCCATATAATAATAGCTTCTAGTACAACCAGAGAGTAACAGCTCCTGGAAATGACTAAGTCTGAGAGTTGCTGGGAAAATGCAGTAACAAATCTTGGAGGGTGAGTTGAGGAGAAGACAATCCTATTTCCCAATTGATTAGTTGGGAATAGGAAAATGAAGAATGAGCCAAGAGGCTTCAGACCCCTTCCCTATACCCCTTTAGGGTGTAGCCACCTTCCCCATGGCAAGGAAGGGTGCACCACAATGGGCCTTGCCCATGTGGCAAAGGTGAATCTTCTTACTCAATGACATGGCACAAACAATGGCATAAAATGCAGTGTATGCAATATGTTATCCATACCTGTCATGTTATAACTGGTTGCAATTCTAACGCAAGAGTTGAGTTGGACTTCGAATGTTTGTGATTGGCTATATTTCCAACCAGCGGCGAGGGCCTTGTCGACTCACTTTGTATAAAAGTGTTCTGATTGGTTGGCTTGCCAACCAGTCCGTTTCCCCGCTTTTCAACCAGTTTATTACCATGTCCTCTTCCCAACCCAGGTTCAATGTATCGAGACCCTGGGTTGGTTGGGTATCAAAATGTTACATCGAGGCGGAGCGCGTGTGGTGTGCGCCGAGAGAGGCGGCGGAGGCGGGAGCAGGAGAGTGCGATGCTGCGTCGATCGGATGAGTGATCTGCGAGGCCGAGAATGATTTGGGGGAGCTCGTCAGGGAGAGATAGCAGCCTGCTGTTGCTGGCGCGATCGCTTCTTCTCGCCGAACTCAATCAAGAGCTCGTTGGGTCGAGAGAGGAGACGAGAGTAACTCGGAATCAGGACGCGTCACAATTGCAACACCGGGGAGGATTGGGACCGAAGACCGAAAATGTGTGCATCGCATATGAAAAACGGGTTTCAATCTGCATGAGCAGTGTTAGGCTATTCAATCTGCATGAGCTCTGAAACACCAGTCCATTTAGGGTTCCCGCCTGCCCAGGCCCTCGTTTGTGTGCTTGTACCCTTAGCAATTAGAGAACCGGTACCGTATTTGGTGCACCCTTTTTATTGCAACTCATAACAACTGCGTGTGCGGTGCTGGTGCAGACACCATGAAAGAAAAAAGGGATATTATGTTATTCCTGTTCTGTTTTGATTTTCGTGGTAAGCATAAATGCAAACAATATTAGTCATCGCCAGAGTAGAATGAAGTACATGCATCTTATAATAATGGGGCGCAATATTGTGTAGTGTGCAATTGTTATGAGAATTTGTTATAGAGATGGTATTGCGAGCATGTAGTCTGACGATTCGTTTTCCCTCCTGCCCGTCATTGCCTCTGTCTCCTCCCATCCTTTCCCCAACCGAACTCCCACCCACCCAATCCAACCGTTCTTCTGTGCTTGTCCTCATATCACGCCAAACGACCACAGGCAAGGTGCATGGATGGAATGGAAGAAAAAGAGCATGTATGGTGCAGCCCCCGTCTACGGTTGTGATTGGTGCTTTCAATTCTTTTGAGTTTGAGCAAGGTGACCCCATTCCCATCACAAATGTAGACCGCGATTCCTAAACCCGCTCGAACTATTATTTGCGTGTTTTGTGAGCTTGCAGAAAAGGCAACCAGCATTGGCCCTGAATTCGAGTGTATGTTCAGTAAATTCTCAAATACTTCACCTCGTGATTGGGGGAAACCGAAAGTTTCAGTTTTTGGAGCAGAGGTGTACAGCAGGTGTTTTGCCGCATTCTGTTCTTCCTTCACCTTGGTGTGTTCGTTCACTCGTCCAACCAGATCCATTGTTGCACTGCTCATCTTTTTCGTCTCATCACTGTTTCGTCTCAAGCCTAGTAATCATCCTCTCTTCTTAGCAGGCTGGTGTTGCTGCCTAACGGAGCTGACACCCTTGGCACAGCGCATGGACCGCATGTTGCACGC